CTGATTTTGTAGCTTTTTCTCTGTTCTGCGATGGAAGGAAGCACAGCGAATAAGGTTGCGGTCCGCTCATTCGTAATGTACCTTTGGCTTTAGTTTATTCGTTTTTGTTTTTGAGATCTCAGGTGGATACGCATAAAAGATTTATTTTGTAATAGCTGTGAGAGCTTCTGCTAAAGATTCGTTCTTCATACAGTAGGGATGCAACTGAAATTTCTTTCGTATTTTCGGTCAAACACTTCTAGCAATGGTTTCGTTGACCAACATTAAGCCTCCCAATATATCATCATGAAAGCAAAAAAAGGACAAGTTTATCATTCAAAACCACAGCAATGTGAGTATGACGTTTATGTGGCAGAAAGTGTTTTTTTGAGTGAAGCAATCTTTTTGAGTACCCCATTTGTTAAGCAATAATTCCTCAGCCCATCTGTCCTTGCCATAATCAGGATTGTATTGACTTCCAAATCAAAAAGAAACGTAGCTAGAACAATCAAAGATGTTGATTTTGTTTAGGTTAACTTTACCGTATGAAGGAATCCACTTTTTGTGGGTGCCTTCCCTAAGCTAAACTGAAAACCCTTGCCTCAAGCGTCTTCGAAGTCAACGAGAGAAAACGGTGAAGCAGTCTATCAGCGGCCTTCACTTTCATTCTGTAAGACCCAGCTCCTTGTGTTCATAATGATTTCCGTATTAAATGATCCAGTTTTAATTGCAAACTTGGTCTATCGATCACAAACGTTCTTTGCACATTCAATGGTAACTTCCTGGCTGTGCAAGACCGCCACAACGACTTTAATTCAAAGGTATGAAAGAGCTATAGATGAAAAGTGGCACAGTAGCGTCTTGTTTATTCATAGTACTTCAATGTGTTTCGTAACTCCTTCGTCCAATGAACATCCAGTTAACATCGATCAATATATTGAGGATGACTTGAATAATTGCATGTAGATATTAGAGAACAGAAAAGTAGATGATAGACTAGTCGATAGTACGCAAAATCGTAGTAGTAACACTATTAATGCTTCAACACGGTTCCTCTTTATTTTCTCTGAACGCGAAACTTGAACATTGCAAGTAAGTTGTGTAAAGACGTGTCTGCACTTTGACGAGGACTGATGGTGGATTCTTTTTTCAGAAGATCTGGACCTGATTCTGTAGAGAGCAAGTATTTTTTCATTAACAAAGAACATGCTTGGATTCGGAACGGCGTTAACTCGCAATACTCATACTTTGTAATGCGATATGAAAGAAAATGCATGTGTATTCTTGTTGAGCAAACACAAGGTGTTATTTTACTTTTTATTACGATGAAGCTGATACTTGGGCAGATTTCTCCTTCCTGAGAGTCTGGAAAGGTCAAGTTGACAACAGTCTACTCAGTCTAACACCTCCATAACTAGGTAGAGAAAATGCTAAGCCAAGATTTCAATCACGTTAAACACAGAGTAGCTTCTTCTCACAATAATCGCCTTTCACTGAGTGTGTCACGCGAAGGCTAACAGCACGGAGTTCACATGAAAATGTAATATATCTTTCGTATTAAAATATCATTCTTAAATACTGCGTGTGAACATGCGTGATTATGAGGCATTCCACGCTGAGGTTCATTTTCGAATTCCTGGAATGCATTCAGAATACTACGAGAGCTTTACAAGCTTGTGGCTTCGATTCCTGTGCGAGGATGTTACTGCTACTTCAAATTCTTCCCCGTTATATATCTCTGTGTCATATGTGCGCCTAGATGAGTACTTGGTTTCAGTTTAAATTTATCGACCAAGTGTTCTTTTAAACGGACGCAGAGTGGTCTACCTGTTTCTCCAATGTATTCGTCCCTCACGCTTTACAAGAGACCATATAAACTGTACCCGAACTTATGCCAACACCTTTTCTACCGTTAACGCAAATTATGCAATTTTGTGTTGTATATAGATGGTCGCATGCTGCCAGCTGGTGTCCTAGAGTGTTAGGTGGCATTTCACTTACTGTTACCAATTTCTCTACACCGATCTTTCTTAAGCAGCGTTTTTTGGTTGCACTTACTTCATTTGAAATGAAGAGCAGGACAAATGGGGCCGTTATTATCGCTAGAGTTGTCCTTTGCGAGCGTGTGTTTTCCTCCATACGTATCTCGTGGAGCTATAGTTTCGCAGCCATCAGAAATGGCTAATTGCTGTTCCAGTTTCCGAGATTCCTCCTTTTCCTCTCATCCTGTGTACGCACTGTTGGCTGTTCAAAACACGTTTTTCAAAAACATCCTTTTTTGTGTGAAGGATGAGAGAAAAAATGTTAACCGGTACGTTATTACTACATGGCTTTCGGTACCATTTCCTAATGTAGTCGTTCTGGATACGTCAGTTTGGACGTTCAGAATTCGAAGCGAGTTCTCTTTCGATTTTTTTCGGGTAAACTTAGGCCTAAAACCTCTTGGCTTTTTTCTCACTATCATAAAAGTAGATGTGCGAGTGGTATAGTTGTTACAAGTGTACTGTGATACACATATGTCCAGTCCCATGACCGACCTTATATTAACCTCGGCACTGCTCAACAATTTACTGCGCTTAATGGACGGTCATGAGATTGTTATTATTTCCGACAACCGATGTATGGCGGATTTTGCCGTTTCGAGGGTCTGAAAATGTCAGGTTAACTGCAACCTATTCAGCCAAACGCCTCCGTAACTTCACCAGAAAAGCCATCGAACACTGATTTAAATAATAGCGAAGACAAAACACCTTCGCACACCAACCTCTCTCAGCCTTTCAATTATTATTTCAAAAACTTTTTCATTTATTGTTATTAATGTTGAAGATCGACCGCACACAGTTCGCATTGGTGGGTAATGTGCTTTTCTAGTGGTTGCTGGTTAAATTTCGTGTCATGAACTAACTAAACCTATCATCCATCCGTGAGCAAATTATTTCCAAACTGTGTGGGAGATGAAATACTGACTTCTTGATGCCTAATAAAGTCGAATGTATGACGCATTTTTTCTTTATCGGTCAGAGACAAGCGCTTTATACTTTTTTCATAAAGTTGTCTTTTGAACGAGGAGTATTGCTAACAGTATTACCTGGCTTCAATGACGATTTATACTCCCCAGATCAGTTCCGTTAACAGAACATTGCTGACAGCACGGATAGAGTGGATACAAAAGACACCCAGAGAAACCACAAAATCCAAACTACTATGAGCTTGAGAATTTGTTTCTTGAATTTTAATGCCTTCTCTTCTTGCAAAAAAAACTTGCTTGGAAGGATAATGGCTTCCGATCTACTGTTATATCATTAATTTTCAATCCTGTTTTGATATTCTTAGTCGAAAGAGATTTCACCTCGTGATCGTCGAAAGGAGTAATTTTACTTTTGTAGGCTATTATGAATCATCTTGAACATCACAACACTTGCCATTTGCTCTATTCGTTCCATTCCAGTCTACGGGATCAAAAGTCCGCTTTAGATTCCCACAAAGCAAATCGCGTTGTTGAAGCCGCTGTTGGCGACCTTGTGTAAAATGTGATTTTTCTATGAAGCTTCTTCTGGTTCAAATAAATCTCAACTTCAGATATCTCAATTTTATTTTTTTGTACCTTGATTTGAAGCATCGGTTACAATACTTGTCTAGGCTAATGTGTTCATCAGTGCGAGCTGGACTCTTAACAGCGAGTCCTTTTCATAATTGAAAACTCACACTGGTGTTTACATCTGACAAAAACTAACCTAACAAGTACTCAGTCTCTAACTGTTTCCTTTAAATTCTTAACTTTGATCTTTTTCGTCCTGTGAGGAAAATTTCCTTGGTAACATAAACTAGGAAAGTATCCTTCCACAATATTTTGGCTAACTTTGTGAGCTATGAAAGTGACCGAGCGGCTGCGCTAACGATCGCAAGGCTCCGCTTGTTCGTACGGCTGCCAGTATTGTTAAACGACACACCGCCTAACCCAATAGGTTGCGTTCGCCTCGTGAAGAATTAACGTCTCTTCGTCTTTCCTGAATATTTTGCTTCTTTCTATAATGATGAAGTCAACCAGATTCCGAAGCATACAAACTGTGCGTTTACAAAGTGTCACAATTTTCAAGTACCAGTGCACCGGAGATCATATGCTTTTTCATCGACGATGTGCTTAGCTTAGTTCAAAGCTCGTCATTGCATGTGGCTTGTGGCTTGTTCGACTTTTTCTTAACCTGTCGCTTTTTTTCCTTCTCCGTTAAGGAGTCGACTAACCTCATCACTCCCACACCCGATTTGTTGGTGACGGTATATCGTTCAGAAACCTTCCCATAAAAATGAATGAAATTGTTCTAAATGTTTCAACTACATCCGGTGTTGCTTAAAGTGCTAAACTATCACTCGATTCTTACGGTATACTTCTTAAAGATGTGTATAATTTATAAGCAGAGAACTCCTCAGAAATTTTCAATCCCCACAACACTGCACTATTGTTGTTTTTTCCATTGCCAGAGGAACTGTGTGCTAACGGTTTCGTGGTAGCAACTCCACATATGATAAGTCCGGTGCTGTTTGATAATTTGGGACAGGTGAATTTTCCAAGGTTCACCTCTTCCTGGTGTAGTAGGTGATTATGCAGATTGTTATCACCTGTATCACCTGTAGTCCAGTTGATCGTCGAGTGACTCGAGCGGGAGCCAGTAAATCTTCCATTTTTCCCTTTCGCGAGAGCTTTATCCTTTACCCTTTTTTACGTCTGATCATTGAAATTTTTCATTTACTGCTGTCTCATCTCTCAAGTCTTCTCATGTTTTTATTGGATATCATCCCTTATTTATAGTTCATTTTTATTTCTCTTTATGTAAAACTATTTACTTTCGATTCTAGAGAATTACGGTAGAACGAATACTAGCGTTATGAAGTGCTGAAGAAAACGTCCCCAAAAAAAATTACTGCTCGAATTAACAGCATATCATTAACGGGAACGAATTTTTCTGCTCTATACTTAACTAGGTCTATTAGGAAACTTCCAGATAAAAAATTTTTAACACGTCTAATAATTTTTCTAGTCTTTTTTTATTTAGTACGTTGGTGATATGCGGAAAAGCGTCAAATTTTATCTTGTTCTGCTTGGGATCAAAGCATTTCCGATTGCGGTTAATTAAGCTCACACGAAGGAAAGTGCATAGGAAGATGGGTAAGTGCGAATAGAAATTGTTCTTCTACAGAGCCTCATCTAATAATCTTAATCAGTACCCGAATTGGTCTAAGTATTACAAATGATGAGTGCGACAAAATTACAAGCAATTGAAAAACCTAAGAAATTTAAAGGATGTTATGGAATGACCCCTCCCAACGGTTTACCGCCTCATCGTGGCCGGAAGGTGTTCTTGGGTGCCGCACTGCGATGTACAGCGAGGGATTCATCCCTGGCAGGGTCTCCCAAGTTGGGAAGGAGTCCGGTGTTTCCATCAGGAAGCTCAGCTAAGAGTAAACCAGAACCACGATCCACCACCGCCCTAGTATCAAAGTCGCATGGCGGCAAATCTCCCCCTGATCCACAACGCCTGCGACCGCCTGTCGCGGTGAAGATTTGAGCAAACTTTAGCCAAGCTGACCTCGGGACTCCAGGAAGCCACAATGGCTAAACCAACAAAACTCCAAAAAATAGACATTGTGCTGGAGCCCGCAAAATCATTGAGGACGGGCTGTCCAAGTGTGTATGGAACGACCAATTCACACGCTGCTATAACATCATGATTTCACCGAATCAACAATTTCTTGAACAAATTCCGTTAACTTAATAGCATTTGCTCTTATAGACATTCTCACTAAAATTTCAACAGATATAAAAAAGCTGCTAAAAAGACTTCATAGTCGAAGTACAGTGACGATCACAGTTAAGTCTTTATATTTAGCAAGTATCCTTATGTATCACCTCTATCACATGTAGCCCCGTCGAACGTCGAGTGACTCGAGCGGGCGCCAGTAAATCTTCCATTTCGCCCTGTTGCGTGCAGGAGTAACCCATTAGGTTCTGCTCTCTCTAAAAATACGTCGAGCATCGTATCTTTCTTTAAGGCTCTTGTGAAAAACTCTGACCATCGGGTCAGTGGTCTTCCTGCATACGTTTAATATCGCGAAGAATCCAGTCACTAACGGCTCTTGTCCGTCGTCTGTCATTCATACGCATTACGTGTGGCCCACCTTATCTTCGGCCGTTTGGCGTACAGAACGGTATCTTTGATTTCAGGTCGTTGACGCAGATCGGTGCTTCGGATCCCATCCCTTACTTGTGTGGAACGGGATACTCCTAGTGTCGCCCTTTTGACTGCGCGTTCGACAACGCTGAGTGACCTTTCAACCTGCTTACGCTGCGACCAGGTTTCTGACGCATGCGTTAGAGCAGGAAGTACCGTCAAGTCGAAAAGGTGGGCACGGAGTCGGGTGTTCTTTGTTCTCTTCACTACATTCTCGATGCTCTTGAAAGCTCCCCAAGCCTCTCGTTTTCTTCTGCTCAGCTCTGGAGCTAGGTCGTTCATCATACTGATTTCCCGACCTAAATACATATAACTGGAGCATTCAGAGATATACGTTCCGTTCAGCGTGAATGGGACATGTTTTTTTCTAATTTTTTTTTCGAATTTCTAAATCCTTTTCGAAACCCTGCTTACTCACGTGGCTGTCCTTCGTCTAGTGTTCTGTCGATCCTGTTTAGGATCACTCGAGTGAAAAGTTTGTAGACGACAGACGGTAAGCAGATTGAGAGATAGTTGCCGATATCGTGTAGGTCACACTCTTGAATAATTACACGGTCTCGCTGGTCTTTCACTGAGTAGAGACCTTGCATTCAGACAGGTAACGTGTGAACAGCGAAGCAAGTGTGTTTACGAGGACTGGCAGAAAGTTCTTTAAGTGTTCTAGTCCTGTCTTCTCCGGACCTGGTGCTGTTAGATTTTTCACCGACGAAATAGCATGCCGGATTTCGGAAGGGAGAACCGGTGCTACAACATATCCATCCTTCTTTATTTCATAAAACGGAAGGTGGACGTGCCTATTCAAGAGATCCGAGTAGTATTCGTGAATGATTTTCTTCATTGCCTTTCTGGACGGTGTAACTGCTCTGTCGGGGCGTTGGAGTGCAATCATCTTTTTCTTGTAATTGGCGAGGCTTCGGTGTGCTTTGCGAATGGTTTTCTCAGCCTCTGCAGCTTCGACCATTACTGCTGCTCTTCTCTCTCTAAGATCTTTTATCGCCTGTCTGCATTGTTTTGCAAGTTCGGACGTTAGTTCGCGGTTGCCTGCAGCTCGTGGCATTCCACGCTGGCGTATCAGCTCGAGTGTTTCTGGAGACAGACGTCTCTTGGTGACTTTCGAACTCTGAACTTTCATAGCGCTACCGTGAAGATGTTGAATGTGGCGATCGTATTCTTTGTCGATGCTATCGAGAACGGCAACTTTCCGACAGCCGACTAATGAGTTGAATAAGTCCCAATTTTAACTTATTATTTACTGCCTATTCTTTTTAACGGCAGGGTATACATTGCGAAATATAACTTCAATGATGCTGAGATATTTGCAAAACTCCGGACCACAGGTGTATGCGGTGGGGAACGAACGCGCTATTGTCCTTTCCGGGGAGCAACGCGTTCACCACCACACCACTCTGGTTACCCTGTTTCTTCCCTCAGTTTGCGGTGGTTCTGGAACTTTGGTTTTGCAATTTAGCGGCTTTTTGTCCTTTACGCGAGAAATGGAATCTCGCACGAAGGAGAAGATGGTCTGATCCCGTGTAGAATTTTGGGACAACAGCGATATCGGTTAGGCAAAGCCTTCTATTTACTATAGAATTGTGCTTATGTAAGTGAAATAATCCTCAAATGACAATTCGTTTTCATACAACCTAGTGGTTTTACGTGGTTGTCAGATGAAAAGGTAACGGTTAAAGGCGGTATTTATAAAACCTCTCTGACCCTACAGTGGCGTGAATAATGAACGAATTCGTTTGGCTTACAGGTTCAGTTTAGTGCGATATCCTTGCCAAAGGGTATTCACAGGCTTATGGGACGTTCGTAGATTTTGACTGAGATGCTCTCTGGTTCTGAATCGGTGCTGCACCTGAAGGGGTCGCTTAAGGCATCTGAGGGATACTGCTTAATGTTACTTTGTAAATGCCTTCTGAACATAGATACAGTTCCCAAAAACATCTCGAGCTGCTAAGCGGGCCTTGGTAAGTATCATCGTAGAAAGAGTCTAGTCTTAGGGTGCACGAAGAAATTCTCTTTTACTCAAAAGGTAACGCACGAGGAACTTCTCTTTCAGCCAAAAAGAACAAGACAACATAGCAATAACTAACAGCGGCCTGCAACTCGGGACCCAAAAACAAAAATGGACAGCTGAACCAGCAATACACCAGCATCGTTATCTAAAGCAATAGTTGTCCATGTCCTCCATATCAGATGGAAAGAAAACCACTGTTAAATAGTTGGAAAAACTTGGTTAGAAACTGTTAAAAAGCCTCGTATTGAGATTGGTATCTTTCCGGTGTTCCGGAATTTTTCCAGAACAGAGCATGTAGACTGTTTCGTGTTCTGCAATGCAGGACAAAATTCATTCTTCAAATATTAAGCTCGATCTCCTTAAAGCTTCAGATCACATAGAATTTCTTGTGTTCTGTTAAGTTCAACAAGAACGACCAGTTGAATTCTTCTATAATGAACTGAAGTGGTCTGAACTCGTGATGAAGGCGCTCTCTACAAATTTCTTCCTGGAAAATTGAATTAAAAATTGAACTGAGTTAAGAACTGGCAAAGTGGATGACTTGGAAAAGACACCAAAACAAACGTATGATTCATTGTTTAATCATGCCTTCGCACTTAAGCCTTTAACCTGGACCTGGGAAACATGAAGGAAGAACTGCTTAAGTTCACTTAAAGTAAAAGTAACAGCGTTAGCTCCTCTTAAGCAAGTCACTGACCATCTAATAAGAAAAAAGCTCAATGCATAATCTGTTTAGGAAATTTTGCTTAAACCTCAGCATGCATAATAAATGTTCTGGATTATTACCAAACTTACACAAGGTTTCCCCATATCTTCACGGTAACTATTTTTTCGTCGATATCATCTTCCTCAGAGCTCCCAGAATTCGAGTCAAGTACCCATAGCAGTTGCTTCTTTTCGTGGACAACCCGAGCAACGAAGTAGGTGCTTCAACTACAGTGGGTTGTTTGGGTCTCGCGAGCGCCTAAAAAATTAGAGAATTCCGCATGGAAGCAACTACTCCTTCAGTAAGTGGTAGGATTTATACAGAAAAAGTGTTTGCTTCGTTACAAAAAACCTTGATAACAATACAACAATCCTAACTTTGATCCCAACGGCCTGCGAGTAGCTTTGTTTGTGACCTAAGGATACTGTGCTATACCATGACTTGCTTATGATTTCATCGAGAATTGCCCCAAACCAACAATAAGTTTCTGACAATGTTGTGGTCCGTACAGATGAAGAGATGCATCTAATTCGTTTAGCACATCAATAGAAAGAACAAGATAGAATAGTTATCTGAATGTGTTTTACTCAGTAATTTAAGGTTTTGTTCCCACTTTTGCAGTAAAAACGATTCAATAACAAATAGTGCGTGCTTGGCTCAAAAAACTCCCAGACCTAATAAATCTCTGACTCACTAAAGTAATAGACAGATGTTTTTGTTTTATAATAAACAACTCATTGTTTTACAGAATCTCTGTCAGTTAATACATTGACATATACGATGAGTCGTGCCATCATAGCCAGGCGGCAGAGTTGTCCGTCAAAGAAGAGCAGCATCGTCGAAACGCCTTGCAGGTCGCGAAACTTCAGCACCGCAGAGATCTGTCAGCCTCTTGTCAGAGATATCGCTAGGGATTTTGCACCCCATTTTTAATCTAAGCACCATCGATTGGATGTTCATGTTATCGGATCCCTTTTTTTCGAAATGTAACGAATTTTCATCTTGTTACAAAAGAAACGGTAACATAAGCGCTGTTCTGGACGATGCCCTTCGTTTCTGTAGTTTAGCAGTTTCACTACTGAATATACGACGTTCGAAGATGTTCAATGTCGCGAAATGTGGAGTATGTTCTGCAGTTACGTTACAGCAAATCATAACCGAAATGATGAAGTCGATAATCGATCGTTAACCTAGGGTGACAAATTACTAATTCCATCGATTTTTTGTACATAGATATGTCATATTTAAGTCTTTTAAGTAAGGTGGTTTCTTTCTAAGTCTTTAGAATTTTGTTGATTGGGTCCTCTATGTGTTTAAGACTATACGCCAATTGTAATTTCACGGGAATCTTAAGGTACTCCGTTTACTTAAGCAGTTTACAGAGAAACTTTTGAGAACTGTAACCAAGAAAAAACCGTAATGCTAATGTGTATAGTCGGTAGGTGTTTTTTCCTCGATATTTGAATTTCCCTAGGTAAATTGGAAAAAATGTAAAAATTTTTTCACAAGGATCGACAAAAACACTAGTGGGAAAACGTTTGCCGAGTAGTTTGGTCATTGTGTTTTGCACTGGTTTTCTCTCTGACCTTTTGAGTGACAGTGTCCGCGCCAGAATTCCTTATGGATCGATCGTTGACTTCACTTCATCGCAATCGATGATCGATACAGGTGATTTCGGTTCGGTATATTGATCGTACGCAACGTTGTCGACAATTCGATATCGATTCAGGTCGTTCAGTTTTTTTTTCTTTTTTAAATGAGTGCTTTGTTAACGATTGCGTGGTCATCGAGTACATATGATCTCATTTCCACTCAACTTTTTTGTTGTTTCCTATATTCATCCATCAGTATTCAATAAATTATTTTCATGCGCTGGTTTATTCTTTTTGAATGCCGTCATCAGCCAATGAACCGGGCTATGGCCCAAACAGTTGAATCCACGAAATTCCGAATGTTCCTGGCAACGG